TTCTCATCAAGCGCAGAAGTAATTTTGCCACTCACTGGAGACAGGTACAGTTGTGCTTGAAATACTATTCTATAATGCTCTTTATAGACTGCAGAAGTTTTATAGTCTATGTTTTATAGACTTAAAGAAACAAAATGTGCTATAACTGTTCTAAATGTTTTTTATAGACAATAGCAATATCACTGGGTTATATCGCTGCCTTTATATGTTTATGCATTCCAGAACACTGATAGAGGAAGGCCTACAGAAACTGAGTAAAGTCATACCTGCAGGTGATACGTACATGCATGAAGGAGTTAAAAAGGTAAACAAGAATATTTACCCTCTAGACTCATGAATGCTTGAGTAGATGTTGAGGATATTGGACTGGAAATATATTGCACATCTCACGTGTATAACTGTATCCAACACAATGTAAGCTGCACTTTAGTCCTGAGTAAGCTAATTTTACTGTATAGCATGATTACATCATATTATATCATATCTTCCTGTATACAGTATATCCCAAATCTCATACATCAGTGAAGTGTAATATAAAAAATATGGAATATAAATGAGTAAGATGTATGATTTTCACGTAATGTAACATTATTTCACAGCAGTAGGTTTGGAGTTGAAAGTAAACTGCATTAATCTGATTTCACTCACATTCCAGATAAGTGATAAGCAAGTGTTTGTCTATTTCGGGACACAGTCTCATTAGCACACTTTCAACATCCTGGCTCTGAAACTCCACTGCTTACTTTGTAATATTTTTGTGTGTCTTGCATGACTGTATATTATAAATTCTATGAAAATACGGTATATATACATGCTGCATTCCTGTGTATCCTCATCTTCAGGCAACTGAGCAAATGAAAGAACAAACCAAAAAGTCTTCAAGCATCATAGTTGCTTTGACAGATGGGAAGCTTGCTGTATATGTCCATGAACTTACTGTAAAAGAGGTAAGATCATTTATATTGCTCTGACAATTTATACTGCTCTGAGTGTGGTGATGCAGTAGAGTATGATACTATTTTCCCTTGTTTTTTCTTGCAGGCAGATGTAGCAAGGCAGTATGGCGCTCGTGTATATTGTGTTGGTGTTAAGGACTTTGACAAAGATCAGGTAAATTAAGCTTTGTTTTTTTATTATGATTCAGAAATGCACCATTCTAATGTATACGAAATCTTCTCTTCTGCAGAATGTAGCCCTGCTATAAACAACTGACAGTGAAAACTAAACCACAACATCAGCACATAGACATTCCGCTTGTGTATGATGTTTTTGAAAACTTGAGAAGATGTTTTTGTTGTAATATTTTTGGTCCCTGGTGGCCCAGTGGCTAAGGACCCCATGCTCTTGCCACCGTGGCCTGGGTTTGATTCCCGACCAGGGAATCAACCCAGCCACTGGGAGTGTCAGTGCCTGTCCCAAGCCCGGATAAAATGGGAGGGTTGCGTCAGGAAGGGCATCTGGCATAAAACCTGTGCCAAATCAAATATGCGGACCAATGATCTGCTGTGACGACCCATAACAGGAGCAGCTGAAAGAACAACAGAGTTTTTTAACAAGAACTTCTTTGTTCTTGCACATTTGAATGCAATTTTTTTGCTGAGTACGAACTTTTGTTCAGTTGCTTATACAACTGCTGATCTTTCTTCCTGTGTGCACATGAGATGAAAGACAGATATTGGAGAGGAAATGCTTAGCCATGACCAGTGTTTCTGTTTGTGAAAGTTCATTCCTAGTCACCGTTTAACTTTCCTATGTTTCTGCCTACAGCTGGCTGATGTGGCTGATAGTATAAATCAAGTCTTCCCAGTCAAAGATGGCTTTCAGGCTCTCAAAGGAATTGTTAATTCGGTAAGTTACTTTGTGTAACTTATGTAATTTATAATGGTGATTTTGCCATTTTTAAATTTGAACTACTGAAATATCATGCAAGATCCAGTAAATGTACACTACTGTAACTATATCATATATCAAGTGCAGTTCAATGGACAAATGATATTAAATAAAATTCAGAAACATGTTTCTAAAAACTGGTCTAAAAATGCTGTTGCATGATATTTAGCGAACTGTATAACCAGATTACAATGACTCTGACCGAATGTTTACATAATGTGCTTATAGCAGTTACAGTGCCTTGCATACCCCCCACCATTTTACTTTTCCACATTTTGTAGCATCACAACCTGGAACTGAAATTGATGAGTATTTTATTTTAATATTTTATTTTGACACAATGGTTATTAATGGTGATTTAAAAAAGCAAAAATTTGTTGATTGCATAGGTAATTTTGCAGCTATATTGATTTTCCTACACTTCAATATTATGGGCTATTTTTGTCCCAGGTAAGTCCATTTCAATTCCAGGTTGTAGCATTATGAAAGTTCAAGGGGGTAAATAGTTTGTACTGTATGCACTGCACTGTACTTCTTTGTGATGTGTTCTGCTGCTTTATTTTAAAAGATCTACAGTTAAGTAAACTCTTTTTTGATAACTAATGTAGTAAAGGTGAGATGAATTATGTGCTGTTATGCTGACACAAAACTTGTCTAACGCAAGTCTCAGTCAAGAATAAACTATTTGTTGTCATTATAGACATCTACTTAACAAGAAAATGTTTGCTTTTCACAATTTATTGAATATGCATTGTTAAAACAACAAAAAAAATACTTCTATTCTGTCCTATCAACTACTGGCTAAGCCCACTTGGCCACAGGGAGATACGAGCCTTGCAAAACAGGCATTCTCCAGTGATTAGTAATCCTGGAGGTTGGACTAGTTGGCCTCATGATGCTCGGTGCTCAGATTTCTAGGATTTGAGATCATCTGTGCAGCTTTGCTGTGAGAGCCTAAAGTAGCTTTAGCTGTCATTTCTGCAAAAAACGAGTTTAATATTTGTTCCACTCATGAATTTAAATAATGTTGCTGGGGTTCTTTATATTCCAATGTCCAGCTGAACAGTACATCTTCTTTTGCATAACGAAAGTTATATGTAAGGAACTGTATATAAATATAGTAGTAAATGTGAAATGCTTCAGTGCATCATTTTGGTGTAATTGGCTAGGAATGTTACTTTGCTTTTGCAGACCCAGCTTGTTTTATTGATAAGAGTCATCTGTTTTTTATTTTAACAGTGAGAGAACTCTCTTAGTGAGCACTGCTGTTTTATTACAGGCTGTAAATACGACCTCACCTAAAATAACAGCCTATCATACCTATCTATGCCTATTTAGAGACATCCATTTGAGACATCATCTTGTTTTCAGGCCTTTCCTCAGGCACTGAGAACAGCTTAATTCTTTCATCAACATCTAAACTTGTATACATGTCAAACTCGAGAAATGAACTCCACAACCTCTCTGATACTGCACTGGAGAGTTGTAGATAATAGAGTAACTGCGGTATCTTTAGGATCCTCCGTCAAGAATAGATGATGTTTACTTCCCTCCTCTAATGATGGGATTGTTTATCATATGTCATATTTAATCAGCTCTTTTTATACTCTCCCAGCACTTCAGACTGAAGCCTCATCTCCAGCGCTGCTCATTCCAAACACCATATATTTTGGTTAATATTGTCTTTTTGCCGGTCGTGTATGGAGATTTGCATAGTTTGTCCTCCGTTGATTTATATGGATGATAGGAGAGGTGACTGTAGGATCACACAGGCCTTTTTATATGGTAATGTCAGCCTGGAGTCTCTAATAGAGCCGAAGATGGCCAATGGTGGCATATCATTTTTCCATAACAGCCGACATAGTTCTTTCTTCGCTGCAGTGTATGTGACAGTCTTTTCATTGATCCATATAGTGCTTAGCATGAGCAATGCCAAAGCCCTATCAGATGTGCAGTGGTGAGAAAAAAACAATGCAGAATAAATTGAGAGCATGTACTTATTTACATTGGTGGTGGATGATGAACTTGGTGTTTTTGCCTTGCAGATTCTAAAGCGGTCATGCACTGAGATCTTAACAGTCGAGCCGTCCAGTGTTTGTGTGAATCGTAAGTATCTCAAGTCTTCCTATTTCTACTGATGTGCAAGTGTGTGCGTTCATGACTATTTTGTGGGATCAGCTCCCAGGTGTGCTTCTCATTATGTCCTCATCTGGTTAACATACCACAGAGTCTTTTGACATGGTCCTCCGGGGGAATGGATTTATGCAGGGGAGAGTCCAAGATGGAGTCCTTTGCAGCTTCCTGGTGGATGGTCAAACTTACAGTGAGTACAGACAATCCCAATTATCCATGTTAATGCATCATTATAAACTAATGAGTGCAACATGAAGCATTCTCAATCTAAGAGACTAAGATATGCTAAACTGAGTCAATATTAATTAGTCAATATTAAGTCATTGATTATTTCACAACTATATTGGACAGACAACTGAATGGCCTAGAAACCCTACTCTACATGGATTTTGTGTGAGACTTGTGCATGAGAGTTAGGATAATAAGACATAACCACCTCTAACACCCTAATACATGACATATACAACTGAATGACTTTATTTTGTGACTCTATGATCTGAACTGATCATTCAATGGTAGACAAATCATAAATTTGTTAGCTAGCCTACTGGGTAAGTGGAAGCTCCTGTGTGCTGCCCGGTCCCATGATTTGGTTGCCCGGAAACCTTATTGACCTGGCTAACAAAAAAATGTTAGCTAATGTATTGTAATAATATATGGCCAGCTAGTTAGCACAGACTAAGGGAAGCAAGTAGCCATAGTCCTATCCATAGTCTTAGTCATTTACCTCCTTATAAAGTTTTTTTTTTTTTTTTTTTTTGTAGCACATTGTGTTTTTGACATCAGCAAATCATCGGCAGTTCGTTGGTGTTTGAGCTATGAGCTGACCTTGAGTCTAGCTAGCATCTTTATGTTCTCTTGATATGTTTTTCCTGGGTGTCTACACTAGTGATTTCTACACCTGTCATTATATTGAATGAATCTGTCTCTGTCCTGTTTTTACTTGAAACCAGTGCACATTTGATGTTGGAAACTTCAAAAGAGTAACAAAATTCTGTTTTAAACTGTGTATAGAAATGACTTTTATAGAAAAATCCCACACATGTCCTGGCACTGGTCTCTGGCCTGCACTGGTCATGTCAGCAGTTCTGGTGAACTTAGTGTACACTTATACATATGGGATTGATGCTATTCTCCAGCTAGTTTGGAGGTGTATTAGAGCACCAGCACAATAATAAATTTTCTTTCTTTATTTATTTTCCAGCTGAGAAATCAAGCACAGTTCGAGATGACTATGTGCTGTGTCCTGCGCCAATGCTTCAGTATGCTGGACAGTGAGTATTCAAAAGGGAATGGTAGAAATGAATGATGCGGGTGTAGTGGGAGTATTAAGCTAGACTATGTTTTGTTTGTCATGTGGGTCTCTTTCTAACAAATGACGTGTTTGTCTGGAATCTTGAATGCACAAGAAAATTAAATATTGCTAATTAAATATTCTCCTTCTCTGCCATTATACCACCTGACGGTGAGTAGGAGTCCCACGTCGTTAATGTGAAACTGAGCCTGTGAGCTTATGCTGAGACTTGTGCCTATAATGCAGCATGTTATAACACTGAAACCTCTGTATGTGATCACTATTTAAAGGGTTTGCTTAATTAACTCTTGGCTTGCGACTATGCCCCATTAAGTAGTTAGCTGCTATGGGCGGCAAGTAAACACATCTGGCAGAGGGCTTTAAAAGGATGTGCGACAGATGCAGCGATTCCCTTTTCTATGCTCCAATTTAAATAATTCACCATGCCCTGACAAGCGTATTCACATACCACCTGCATCTTCAAGTATAGGAGCAGTCCCTGTCTGCCTTTCTCTCTCTCTCTCTCTCTCTCTCCATGACTGTTGTTAGCCCAGCATCTCCCACTTAACACTACAGTTTAAATATTTTAAATTCAAATATTTTTGTTTACACAATTTTAATAAATAGTTTAAAATGGTTTATATAGTGTTAAACAATTAAACATGTTCATCTGAACTGTATCTTGAACTCAAACAAACTATGACAGGCTGTTGATAAAGCACTGTATAGCTAGGGACTCACGCAATTCTTAGGGCCCTTGTAGTGCAGGACTGAGAGGATGAGAATCTGGCAGTGAGTCTGGCAGCGGTTCCACAATCAGGGTTGCCAGGTCTCAGCAAAATTTCCAGCCCAACTGCACCTCAAAAACCACACAAAAAGTCCTGAAACTATCCCAGAAGGGGACTCACATTTTTGTCTTTTTCTCAGTCTTTGAGTGGGAAACAAGTTTACCGCAAGTTTACCGCATTCCTGATTTGCAGTATCTGTAATCTTTACAGTCCACAATCCTTACACTTTCCCTTTGTTTGCCATGGTCTATTTTTGCAGAAATTTGTTGCATTCAAT